GCTCGATCCCCTAGCTCATGTACGAATTTACCATCTCGTGGCGGACCTTTTCAATTTTTTTCGATGTTCAATAATGTCTGGCCTTGCAGCTCCTTCATCTGGCTTAAGATAGCTACATGAGGTGAATCACTTTGCTTTCAGCTTCGAGTCGGGTCCACTAAATCCGCAATGCACACACTCCATCAGACTCTTGATAAGCTCAGCGTCCTGAGACAACACTGTCTCAAAAAGAGGATGGCAAGGCGGGAGATGCGTTCGCACGAAAAGTGTGTGGTACACTATCGATGCAAGGCAAAACTCTCCTACAAACGACAAATGCCCTGGGACCCCTTGAAATATGGTCGTTACCCCACGTCGAACCCATTCATCTTGCTGCTGAAAGTGTGGAGGAAAAATTACAAACTCATGTGGCGTGCCTTGGCTAGCAGAGGACACGCGGATCGGGCTTGAGTCGACTTGGACTTGTGTAGTGGCCTTGGCTGGCAGAGGGTCGCTTGATAATGGGGACTTGAGCTTGAGATGGAAGATTTGAAAGTGAATTAATTTATGGATGAGCGGCAAGGCGCTCCGTTTAAACTATTGCTACTTTCAAACATTCAAACTGTTCAAACGTTTGAAATGTTCTTCTTCTCGAGAAACTTGTTGCACCCTCTCGAGTTCTTAGAATTCATTCATATCATGCAGGCAGTCATGTCATACTCCCCCCATGAGCCTGTGCGGTTTAACAAGGAAAGATGCGGCGGATGCTGACTTGCTGCGTCGCCTTTGTTGATGGTGACCGTGCCGTTGGTGTGCACTAACTTGATTGTGTACGGACCATGCGCAACAACCCGCGTCTTGATCGAAAAGCTTTCGGGATCCGCAGCATGACATTGTCATCAGGATTGTAGAAGTTCTCGATGCGCTTGTCGTTCTCGCGATCATTGTCAGCGAGGATCGCCTCGAGCCTTCTCTTACATATAACTCCAGTTCGCTTGATACAATTGGCGATATATCATGTCTTGGCCGAAGACGAGCCGTCCGGGTGACGCATTCATGATACTGGGGTAGCTGGCACACACCGCAAATGCCGCGTAGTGTAACGCCTTCTTCCAGTCCACATTCTCGTAGCATCGAACGATATTGAGTAGCTCCAAATGAACTCGTTCGCAGATGGCATTGGCTTGCGGGTTCTTAACGGTAATGGGCTTCGCCGTGATACCGTAGCTCAGCTAGAGATCTTGAAATTCATTTCTAGTAAACTCTGGACCTTGGTCGTGAATACTTGTTTTAGACGAGGGTACCGGCAGAGCCATTGACGCGCGAAGCTTTCCGCTGTCGTTAGGGCCTCCTCGTTGGGCTGGATGGCGACCTCGAGCCAGCGTATGGCGTGGTCGATCATTGTGATGCCATAACCACCGTCATCGTAAGGACCAATAAGGTCAACGTGTACCACATCCCATGAGTTAACTGTCTTCAACGCTCGCGGGGGCAAGAGTCCGTAGTCCTGCTTGCCATCGTGTACCTTTGCACTTCTTGACGAACGCTGTAACAAAGGATTCCATACCGGGCCAGTAGAGAGCTTGATGAATCGTCTTGAATTGACGCTCATGTCCAGGATGTCCGAGGTTCTATGGGTATCATCTTACTAGGTCTTCTCGCAGTGATTCAGGGATAACAACTCGCTTTTGATACGCGACCAGCGAACAACCAAGGAGAGACATGAGCTTGTAGTTGAGGTTGTTGGTTCCGGCAGGACATGCAGACTTGATCGTCTGAATTGTTTCATCTTTCTCTTGATGATCACGGATGACGGGGCCGTGCATGGCGCACTCAGGCTCGTCAGTCGCAGCGTAAATCCCTTCGTCAAGCGTCTGCTGCTGCTTACAGTCGAGCTGCATACGGAAGAACGCTTCAGCACCGATGTTCTTGGAACCCTGGATGTAGTGTAGTTTGAGTCGGTACTTAGAAAGAAGTATTTTCCAGCGCTTCACGCGCAAATTTGTCTCTGTCGGGTAGATTAGATTTTCATGGTCGGTGTGGACCACGACATCGAAGCCGAGTAACATAGTTCGATACTCACGAAGCCGAGACACGATGGACAACAATTCCAGTTCCATCGTTGTGTAATTGATCTGGTACTTGTTCAGTGACCGAGAGTAGCAGGCAAGAATGGATTTCTGCTGCATGATGATACCTCCAAACCGCTTTCCACTGGCATCGGCGTACACATGAAAGGGTTGGTCGAAATCTGGAAACGCCAGGAGTACAGCTTCGGCGAACGCCTTCTTGATAGCGTTGAACGCGTATGCGTCGCTCTGCAACCGGGTAAACAAGACCTTGGTGCTGGATATCCGGTTGAGTGGGGCACATAGCGCAGCTTTGTTAGGCACCATGTCGCGATAATAATTGATCATTCCAAAAAACCGACGGAGTTCCTTTCTGTTCTTGAAAACTGCGATTTGCTGTATGGCTTGAATCTTCTTGGCCTGCGGCTGGATGCCTTCAGCAGTTAGCGTAAAGCCTAGGTAGTCAACGGAGTCACGCAAGATGTGACATTTCTTGCCGTTGAGGGTGACATGGTACCTGTTGTGCGGTTCGAAAACCACACGAAGATGCTCCAAGGGTTCTTCCTCGTTGCAAGAAAACACCAGTATGTCGTCGAGATAAACCACGACGAATTCGAGATCTCCAAAGATCTTCTCCATAGACGCTTGATACTCATCAGGTGCGGTTGCAACGCCCATGGGAAGTCTCTTGTACTGGAACTTGCCACATGACAAGCAGAAAGCTGTGTACGGTCGGCTTGCTTTGGCAAGTCGACGCGAGTAGTAACCTATTTTTGCATCAAATGATGAAAGACACTTCGCCCCTGCGAGGCGCATGAGGATTTCGCGGATCTTGGGCACGTAGTACGGACTGTGTCGCAGGTACCTGCTCAGAGTTCGGCAGTCGATCAGTAACCGTAACGACCCGTTCGGTTTGACTATGAAGAAGGCTGGAGAGGCCATTTCCGAGTCGTAAATCTTCTCGAGAACGTTTTGGTTGACCAATCGCTGGATTTCTCTCTTGGCTTTGGTTTTTATGATCCGTGCAATCGCGTACGGCTGTGCATGCACGGGCTTAAAGTCAGGAGACAGAGGTAGCACGTAGTCATCGAACTTCATTATGCCAAGATGTCCGTCGTACAGATGCGCGTACGGCTGCAGGAGATGCAGGTAGCTAATTCTCCAGACACCGTGTCTGGCATCATCTCAGTCGGTTGGACTGCATCGTCGCTTGTCTCCTTGTACTCGTCGATGAACTCGGGGTCGGTGTTCGTATCCAAAGCCGTCGCAGTAACCGGAGAGCCCGTGTTCAGCGCGGTGGAGCAGCCGTCCCATTGAACGATTTTATCCTTGAAATTGAGCACAATGCCCAGTGCTTCCATTATATTGCGTCTAATGACCATTGAGTCTGTGCTGCTTTCAAGGACCTCAAACCGGTGGGTGATTCGGACCGACGGGTTGAGCTTGGCGAATTTGAGCTGCACGATGGCGCTACCATCACTCTTGACCGGACCACCTGCAGTCTGATAGGTTGTTTTGGACGCGACCTGTCTGCGTCCGTGCTTGGCGATAGCTTCCATAGCCGCGTTGATTACACTCGAGGGATTCGATAGTGGAGTGCTCGCCACGTAACTGCACGTCAATGCGTAGTGGCGCCTTTGTGGTAGCAAGCTTGTTATTGACCAGACCAATGAACTTGAACTATTCGTCTTCGTCGCCGGACTCACTGTTCGCTTTGTAAACCTTTGGGTCCTTCTTCGACCTGGACGATTTCTTAGTTTCAGCTTGCTTGTGCTCAGCTTGTTGCTGCTTCTTGAGTGCGAAGCAGTCACTGGTGTTGTGGGATAATGTCTTGTGGTGTGAACACCATTTACCCTGGCCCTTTTGTGTTGGTGCAACAGAGTTCCCGTGCTTGTTCTTGTCGCTGCAGCTCTTGTGTCGCTCCGAGTGATTGGACTTGCTCGGCTGGGAGTAGCGAGATGACTTCTGCTGCTGATTGCTATTTTTGGCTTTCGAGACGGACTTCTCTCGCATTTCAATGCGCTCGAAGTACTGACGTAAAGCACTCATTCTTTCGTGGACGATTCCAGACGCGGCAAGTTTGACTTGCCACGCGTGAGGCATGACACGCTTCAGGAATCGGCACTGCTGTACCTCGGGGATACTTTCAGCGTTCACTGGTAGCTCAGCGAGCATACGCACAAGTTCCTTGAGCCGTATGTAGACTTGCTGCACTGACTCGTTCAGCGCTTGGATAGGCTCCAAAGGTTTTCGTCGAGGGTCTCGCTGTAGTCGAGAGGGACTAGTTGCTGGCCGATATTCTCATAGAATTGAGAAAAGGAGAATGCTTCCTGCGCCGCCTGTCTCGCAGCATCTTCGACATCGTTCTTCATCGCACCGTCGAGTAGTAAGAGAAGTTGTAGTGCGGCTTGTTCGACGTCCCAGCCTTTCTGCCGGGCTAAACTCTTAAGGCGCATGCTCCATCGCAGCCAGTCCTTGGCATTGCCGCCGTAGAACTTGGGGATGATGATCTTCGCGGTGTCGGCCGGAGCGCACTCAGTCGCTGGGCTCGTGATGATAGTGTAGGTGACGTAGTCGTTCTTGTCATGAGACTGTCGCACCATCTTGGAAGGTCTTGAGGGATTGTTCCGTTCCAATTTGAATATGTCAAAATGACGTGCCTTGGCTAGCAGAGAAGACGCGGATCGGGCTTGAGTCGACTTGGACTTGTGTAGCGGCCTTGGATGGCAGAGATGATGGCGGCTTGAGCTTGAGATGGAAGATTTGAAAGTCAATTAAATTATGGATGAGCGGCAAGGCGCTCCGCTTAAACTACTTCTACTTTCAAACATTCACACTGTTCAAACGTTTAAGAAAAAAAATGTTCTTCTTCTCGAGAAACTTGTTGCACCTTCTCGAGTTCTTATTCGCCACAGGATTCCTTCATATGAGGCAGGCAGCCATGTCACATTACTATTCGATGGTAGACCAACAACAGCTCTCCCAACATGCATATCTCCTGCAGATTCGTAGCGTAGATAGGTGTTCCGCATACCACAGCGATACCACCCTCTACGCAAGGGCACTGCTGTAGACGACGGACAGGCGGTTGAACCAGAGACGCAATTTGTTGCAGCACCTTTGCGCATCGATTGGGTCCCAATATCACTTGAGCTCACACCTCGTCTTTTTAACTCTGCGGAGACCTCGGCATCTTCTAGTAGACAGTGTAAACGCTTGCCAAATCGCTCATACTCGTCAGATCCTGGAAACAGGCGGATGTCCATATCAAATGTAGATGTTGCCCAGTAAATTTCTAGTGCCATGATTGGGCATTTTGATGGATGCAGTGGGTTAGCGTATACATGACGCGGGTCACGTGTCGATCACCGCCCTGGTCTTTTTTCATGTGAGCAAAGTACACTCTCAGCGCGTCGCCACGCCACTCAATGTGCGAATGCCTAATGCCGAATGCATTTGCAGAGCGACACATAAGATTCCACAACATGATCAAGTACACCCGCGCGAAACTTGCATCTCTTCCTGGTGGTGCCATCAAGTGGGTGGAAAGAAACTTTAAAAAGCTTAAAATTTAAGTTTTTTAAAGTCTGTTTAACCAGGGCCTAAAGGTGAGAAAGGACCCACTCTCATCAAATCAAAGGACCCACTCTCATTAAATGAGAGTGGGTCCTTTCCCATCTTTAGGCGCTGGTTCAAGTGGTAAATGCATTCTGTGCTGAGATTTGTACTGATTCTGATTGGCAAACATAAAAACGTACTCTAAACCTGTTTTTAGTTTTCAGTGTTCTGGAACGGTGCGTTTCGGTCTCCGCGTGCAGAAGTGTTCTGACTGGAGCACAGCTGTGTTACACAGCTACAAACTGCCACACAAGCTTAAAGTAAATGTACGCCGAGGGTACCGCCATTGCGATAGTGATGCTTAGTGCCTGTGCTGCGGCGGCCACGGTCGCAACATACGATAAGCGAAGGTACAGACGTCCGGCATCGACCGTCTCTACATTTTCTACTACCACGTTCGAGAACGCGCTGCATGCGTCAAATACAGACTGGTTTCACAAACCAGCTAAGGTGTGACCGTTCGTCATTCCTACGGATGTATCAAGAGGTGCGCGCAGCGTATAAGCGCAAGCCAGTAGCAAACAATAAGTGCCCGTTAGCAAAACGATTCGCTCTAATAATGCTTTACTTAGCGCAAGGGGGGAGGAAGGCGGCTATGGACTCGGCTGCCTCGACAATGGGGATTTCAAGATCACGTGCTGTTGTCTATATTAATGACTGCATGGAGGGCCTAAGCTCTATGGCAGCCTTGTACGTGGTTATCTCTAACACAGATGAGGCTAAAGCTGTGGAGGAAGGGTTCCAGTTAGTCGCCGGCTTTCCTGGTGTGGTAGAAGATGTTGATGAAACTCTCATCGCAAAACCATTGTCGTAAAGGTTTCTCTGTTGGTAATGCTCAAGCCATTATTGACCATCTCAGAACATATCGCTTCATTTCTATGCGTTCTGGGTCTAGTAATGATCAGTCTCTATGGAATGGGTCTGGAGCTCGAAAACGATAAGTTGTGGTGCAAGCACATTTTGCATAAAGGTTTTTTAATATACTGTACAACTAAAGCAATATTTCTGCTGGTCATAGCGGCGAGGAAGCTCACAAGCAAGAGCGACTTAGCTCTTAGTAAAATAGATTTTGGAATTTCTTCCTCCAATGAAACATTTACTAGCGGACGCGGGATACAAGATTTGGGTGCACATGTTGACTCCGTTCGTTGAGACTGTGACTAATCGTCGATAACGAGGATACAACCGTCTGCATTCGCGCACTCGAATAGCAGTAGATAGTGCATTCGGAAGGCTAAAGAGTCGTTTCAGAATTCTCCTTGATAAGCTCGAGCAGAAGACGCCTGTGCGTATTTGCAGGTTGATCTACAGCCGTGTGGTGCTACACAACATGCTCTTAGCTATGAAGGACAGTGTTGACGTCCAAGGTACCGACCCACTACGAGCCCAACCCGACGTCATGGGCGATGGGGGAGGGTTGACAGCATCGGAGCCGCCGCTCTCACATAGTCTCGGGATATCTAAACGAAATGACCTAGCGGATATTTTGATGGCCTTGTCGAACAAAACAAATTTTATATCTGGTTTTGGCGCAAATGTGCATGTTTTATATCGCTTTAGCTGCTTGCCTTTTGAGGCTAGTTGCTCTAGTAGCTGTAGCTGCAACACTTGCAAGCGTCGTGCCTCTTCATGTTGAGATTTCAATGTCTCAGTGCGGCTTGCAAGTAATTCGTCGGATAAAGAAGAAGAACGTACTGCAAGCGATGCCGCAATGGCTTCCATCCCAACCTGCATAGCGATAGCCAGGTTGGCGATCGGTGAGATTTTGCTTTTGTTTTTTGTCGTCTTAGGCGCTTCAACTCCAGCTGTGGCAGCACCTGTATCGCTTAGCAATCTGTCGCTATCTTCTTCGTGAAAATGGGAGTATAGAAGAACCTCACCACTAACTCCGTGTCGCCCCGCGAAAGCATTATGCAAATGACCCATATACTATCATCGATTTCGCGAAACTGACGGGTCAAGTTGCCTGTCTGCTCAGACTCTCGTTTCTCTTTGCGATATGTGCACTTAAGCTTGCGATACTTCTGAGAAACCTACATGCATATAACAAATGTTACGGTACAATACAACAATAATAAAAAATAATCTACCTGTTCCCGGGTAATGATAACACCAAGTGACTGTAAAAGAACGCTAGCGCAATTTGCCAGGCCAGTGCCGTCTGCGTCTTGGTTTGAGCATTCTCCAGCTTGTGCTTGACGTCACCGTCCTCGAAACGAAGTCTCAGTAGCTCAGCAATCATCTCGTTAGACCATTTAAATCGCTTCCCAAACTTGAGCCTTTTGGATCTGGAGACCAATGGCGCTGGCTCGGCTTGCACTGCCGGCGCTGGGCTCGCTGCGTCAGCCGCAACACGGAGGGACCACCGCTACCAGCGCCCGGTAATTCGCCTATCTAAGTGGCAATAAAACGAAACGTGAGCGAGTATCAAACAAACAGCTGAGTGGTTGGTGTGTAACTCTTACTTGGACAATCTGCAAAACGGACGCTACTCACCAATCAAAATTCTGTTGAACATTTCGCTATATACCCAAACCTCTTTTTATCGCTGTGTTGCTTTGCTGCGCACAAGGGCCTTATAGCTCCTTCTTCACGAGCTTGAGTAGCTGCAGGCTGACGTTTTAGCCGGCTTGAATTCATTTTCCATGGCATATCCCACATGGCATTCACAATCGCTATAGATGTGGAATAACCCAGCGCGGTGAGTGTTAAGAGCAGAGTAGCTGAGTACTTCGCCGTCCGCTTTCCGAAGGGTGAGAAACTACGTTTCGAATACTTCTGCATCCAGGTGGTCAAAACCAAGCGGGGGGGGGGTGTCGCGTTTTCTAGTGAGGAGTGGCTTAACAAGTCGTCGTAGCTGCTTTTCAGAGAGCCTTCGGTGCTTTTCACTCGTTCTGCAAACGCGCCAGGTATTAAATGAGGATGATTAAGATACACCCACGAGACGGAGCGACAGTAGGAATTCACGTATGCAGCGCGTGAGCTTGGGCTGACAGTGTTGTCACGAATCTGCTCAGCTTGGCGCCTTAATTCATTCATACTGGCTGTGTGTGCTCCCCATCGAATGTCTACGGATATTTGTCCTGCAAAAGACCAGAAACGACCGGCTGTTGTAGCGTCCTGTAATACTACTGAATTTTGTAAGCACTGTTGGACTCGAGCGATTTCGGTCGGAAAATTCGAGACATTCTGTCCTGTCCTAAGCCTTCCAACCATCCCAATATGTCCTGCAAAATCTGGAGATTGAATGTTGTGTAAAGGGAACAAGATAGCACATAGCATTAATAACCATTTCCGTTTTTCCAAATGAGACGGCGTTAAACGAAAAGATGTTTACAAACCTAAGTACGTATCGCGATTTTGGCACGCCATTGGAAAGAGCATGATCTCCCATTGGATTGGTACATTCAGATCTACAAAAAGTGGAAAACGCACTGAGCGACACGCCTAAAAAACATACCTCCAGTAAGAGGATTGAAATCCTCTTGGGTCTCTTCACAACACCCACCAGCACGATGACGGAGGAAAACGAGCGAGACAACGGACAGCGGACAAGAGGACAGAGTGTATCGACGAACAGGAGGAGGGCGACGAAGTGAGGCAGCCGGGAGGGATCTTCCGAGAAGTCATTAACCCTGTACGAGCAACCGGCGGACGAGCTTTTGGGTGGTGTACCCAGAACAACTTCATGCACTGCGGTCTTTTCGGTAGAGGTCGTGGTTGCTGGATAAAGGGGCGAGCGAAATGTCGCATGCACGCAGATCAAGGCAAGCGAGGGGCAGTTCCAGATTTGCGGCGCAGCAGGCAAGTGCTCGCGCAGACGCAGAAGAAGATTACGCCGGTATTGGTGCCTGTAGGAGATAAGTAATAACAAGTCAGTTGCTAGTGAGGCACGAGACGAGATACGCTAAGTGGAAATCGAAGTGTGACAGAGAGACGGGTATAAGCAGGATCGTCGGTATCAGCAGCCCGGAACGTCGTGAAGTTTCCCCAAAGAATAGGGTAGTGGAGCTGGCCCCTAATGTAAAAGTCCCTGGGATAGCGATCGAGCGGCTTAGCATAGATCTCCGAGGAACACCACTAGTTGCCGAACCAAGAAACCCAGCGTTTGCTCAGTGCGTGTGTAAGCTAGCGTAGGTGCGTGTGTAAGCTAGCGTAGGTGCGTGTGTAAAACAGCGACTTCTGTGGCCACCGGACATTGTCACTTGGCCGAGGGAAAGAACGGCGGTGAAAGCAACGCGACATATGGTAACCGTTGCGTATCGCACTAGTGATTGACGCCACGTAAGATCGTGACTGAGTGTCTCGACGAGCTACGACCTGGCAGCCGATTACACGCAGCTTACTTGGTAGTCATACAGGGGCCTTTTATTGAAGCTTGGTCCTATGGCACGAACCCTATCCACGCAGAGAGAGAGAGGGGGTGAAGGGGGAGAGAGGGTGAAGGCGTAAATAGAGAGTGAGGACGGAGTGAGGGTGATAGTACGAAGAACGGAACAGTAAGTAAACGAACGAGCACCGAAGATGCGCAATAACTTTCATACTAGACGAGGAATTGAAGGACGCCGCGGTGACAATGTCTGCGCGAGCGGCACGAGCAACTAAGAAGAGAACGGGTCCACGGACCCTGAGCATGACGACGCGAAGCCCAACGACGCCGCCTGTAGCACCCAATAAAAGTGTCAGCCCGGACGCGTATACGACTAAGCACAGGTGACGGCAACGGAGGGACTGACGAGGTGGCTGTCAGCAGCAACGTCGCGATGGCTCCTGTCGGAGCTGGTGGCGTGGTCGGCAGCAGTGAAAACGACGACGATGCGTACGACCATGGCAACGGCCAAGGAGGTGGCCAGG